AAAAGAAAGCAAACATAAGTCGTAAAAACCGTATTTTAAGACTTCCTCAGAAGAAATGCTTCTGTAACTCACAGAGAAAATAAGGTATTAAAATAATGTTGTAACAAACTACTGCTAATATTATTATTGCTATTCAAGTTTTCCAAATTCAGTGATTAAGGATTGCTGCAGAAGTGAAAAGGACCTGAGATTGAACAATGGAGCCCACCATTGCTAGCATTCTGAAACTCACCCAGAAGTAATTTGCAGAGCAAAACATAGGTTTTTAATATCAGATACATTGAGAAAAAATTAGGATTGTCCAAAAATGAAGTACTCTTCTTGCAATACTAGTATTAGAGATATTTGATGACATCAACAAACACAACAAACATGTATATTTTGAACATCTACTATTAGAAACTACTAGCATATAACTGTACTAAACATGCAATGTTTACTGGCTAAATGAATGGTTTATAAGGACATCTGATGTCTTAAGCAGAAACGTTTCTCAAGAAAGTGTCCTGTAATAATTTGCAAAATTTTCAGATATTACTAATAAACTATTGATTGAGAAACATGTACAAATACTATAAGATTTTCTGTTATTTTATACTATGTATGGCTTAGGAGAGCCTCTGTTCCCTTCAAACTTACCTCAGGAAGTTTTGATTGACCTCAAGTGTTCTTTATAATTATTATTTCAATTAAGTAAACCACATAAAGACAGCTCTCTTGAAATATCTTAACTTTTCTTGATATCCATGTAACACAACTAAGCAAATTTGGATTCAGAATTTCCTATATCATAAGTCTCAGTCAGAGTAATCTGATTTGGGATGATAACACATTTCTGTGCCTAATGCTTAATTGAGAAGAGTATTAAAGCAAAGACAGGTGATGAAAGTTCTCTTTTTTCCTGCATCTCCATAACTTGGTTGAACATGATAGATTGGCTAGCTTATTGCTTTAGGAATGATCAGCAATATTACTTTCCCTAAAGGAAAATTAAGATAATTCATAACAGATTTGAAACCTGATTTCTAGCTCCCTGTGTAAACGTGTACAAATTTATACGTTTGACTCAAATATCTTCCTTAGAAATACCCCTTATGCATGCAGATAATCTCAACTTTGGAGTTCCCCAAGAATGTAATGATTGCCTTTATGCATATACATTATATTGCTGGTGAAGCAATAAAGTGTAATAGTTGAAGCCTTCGATCCTGGTTAAATATCACCCATGGCTTTTACTAGCTCTGGATCTTTAAAGTTACTTAAACTGTCTGTATCTGTGTTTCTACATTTATGAAAAAAGAGTGAGAATTAAGTATGTTAATATGTGCAAAATACTTAGAACAGTGCCTGGCAAATAATAAGCATTGAATACATGTTAACAGACAATAACACTGTGTAGTTTCCCAATCTGAATTCTTATTTATACCATGGACCCAATAGTTCCCTGCAAGGATGAAATAAATATGTGCTCAGTAACTGGTCATTTCTGTTCTGATTTCTTCTCATTAAAATTTGTTTCCCAGAGGGTCCTGGGTTGCGCAGTCTGTTAGGTGTCCGACTCTTGATTATGGCTTGGATAGTGATCTCAGGGTAGTGAGATGGAGCTATCCCTCCCCCCAGGCTCTGTGCTCAGTGTGGAGTCGGCTTGAGACTTTCTCTCCCTCTTCCTCAGCCCTTCCTCCCCTTCCCCCACCACCACGGCACTCGCGAATGTGCTCTCCTTCTCTCTCTCTCTAAGATAAATAATAAATAAATAAATCTTTAAAAAATTTTGTTTCCCACATTTCAGTCATTCACTTACTATGTTTGTGGGTTTTTTTCCCCCATATTGCACACTACATAGTACTTATTTAATTATATTATTTATATTCTATTTTAATGGAAAATGTATTCATACGACTAACAAATGTCTTTGTGTGGAAAGTTTTCCTGCTAAAACTTAAGATTGTGTAAATGATAATTAAAACATTCATCAGCTAAAATCATCTCTTGTGCTTCTGGCAATATATACACAATGCATTTTAAAACATTGCCTCAAAAGAAAACTTTCTATAGTGACTAGAAGAGACTATTTAAAGACTGGCGGGCCAATATACCCATCAAAATCTAGTAGTAGTAGGACAAAGGTAGGCATGGTTTGGCCATAGAAGGAATGGTAAGACTGACACAAGTGAATGCCCAGGTGCTTATTCATCAATGCTGTGGAGACATCACTTGATACTACTTTCTCTAATATTTACAGCTTGAAGTATTTCATAGGCTAGGAGAGTGATTTTTAGCCCAAGACTGGAAATCCAACAAATTTCAAGGAAATAGAACAAGAAGAAAAGAATCCCAGAATTTTTCCACCATTGTAAATTGAATGTAAGGCATATATATTAAATTTTCAGTGAAGATAATAAATCCTGGTTTAATGACTAATAGTTAAGAGAAGTAAGTTCCAAATGCAGAGCAGTACAAAATAAATGCCTGGTTCCTTAAAAGGTTTAAATACCCAGTATATATATGAATATATATGTTCATTTCAACGTGAATTAAGATCAGCTATGGTTGTTTTATTTAAGGTAATGCTAGCAGCTATAAAATTCTCTAAAATACACAATGGCTCCAAGAAATAGAAGTTTATTTCTCACTACAAACTGTTAGAAGGTAATTTTCTACAGGAACTCTCTGTCCTTGCTACAACTTTTCTCTAAGTATAAAATTATTCCAAAATAAAAAGTTTACTAAATAAAACAAAATGTGTTTTCCTCGCCTATGTTTGGCTTTTCTTCACACGGTGATTCAGAGTCGTCTTCCATCTTGCCTCTTCAGCCTCCATGGCCTCATTCAGTGTGCGCTCCCAGCCAGCATGGGAGGGCACATGGAGCGGAAACACTCACTGGTTAATAGCTTTGAATGGGGAAGGCTTCTCATCCCGTTGGTCTGAACAGTTATGTGACCACTCCTAACTGCAAGGCAGGCTGAGAAATGCAGTCTAGATATATGCCCTGGAGAAAGGACAGAATTTTGGTGAGCAGGCATCAGGGGCTGCCACAGTCCGCCCCCACCGCCTTCACCGTATGTCAATTTGCACCTGTCTTCAACACTCAGAAATACATCTATCCCCCTCCCCAAAGATGACCAAAAGTCCCACGCAGTTACTACATCAAACTCCAATAGAAGAATAGCAGTGACAAATAACTTTCTTCATCACACCAATTTCTCTCCAGGGGGTTAGAGGTTTAGAACTTGAAAAAAATGAATTCTCTGCTCTGTTTTTCCCATCACATCCAATCGACAATGGTGGAAGGAGAACTTGATAACTGGAAACACCCTCTCATTTGTAAAGGAAATAAATGGTGACCAGCCAACAGTCACTTGACCCAAATGACTATTAAAGCTTGCTGGGCAGGCCCTGTGAGACCCCTGCCTTCGCCACAGAGTCTATTCCTGGCTCTCCTGGTTCTCCTTTTTGGGATAATTCCCCATGCCCATTGTTCTCCAAGGTTTCTGGCTCTGCTTTCTGGAGGCTCCTCCTCCCCCATCATCCCCCACTGGCCACATTGAAAGTGAACTTGGAAGGCAATGGCTCCCTTGGAGGTTGTACTGCTTTCACAGCGCAGTTTTGCAGAGAAAATATGGGGTTCAAGGGTTGTATAGAGTCACAGGTTTTTGAGGCCAGGCTTTTGGTTTCTTTGCTAATACAAGTCTCTCAAAATCTCAAAAGGCTTTGATTTAATCCCTTCAGTCAGTTACATGTGCCAGTACCACAGTCAAAGCCATCCAAAGTTCTTTTCTAGACAGTTCTCAGACCTGCTTTATTCTTTAATACCTCACACTCATCCTGCAGTCTCTCTTTCTCGCTCTCATTCTTTCTTTTCCTACTTCCCTGTCTCTTCTACCTTATACCCTGCCACCTTCATGTAAAATACTGGAGAATTCCTGCCTAGTAAAATAGGATTATTAATTAGAGCTTCTATTTAAATTATCAAACAATACAATATTTCATTATAAATTCCTTCTTCTTCTCTTTTTGTTTTATTATAGAATCAGTCTATGGTACTTTTTGGCAGAAACAACAATAGGCATTTTAAAAATTTTGTTCCAAAAACACTAACCCATTGATTATTGTGTATTTAAATACATTTGTAGAAGAAAGCATGAAAATTAATAGAACATTGACTCTGAAAAAGCTGAGCTCACATCATATCATAAACACAAGGTGTTTCAACATTAAATATTTTGTTTCACTGCAAGTCACCCTGAAATATAAAGATATAAAACAGTGATTTTTTTTTTTTTTTTTTTTTTAATGCTTACAGAGTCTGGTCAAAAATTCAGGTAAGACATAGCAAGAATAGCTTGTGTCTACTACACAGTGTTTGAGGCTTCTACTAGGACTTGAAGCATGGGGATGACTCAATGGCCAGCAGAGGGAACCATCAGAAAATATCTATACTCATATGACTGGCAGTTGATACAAGCTGTCTGCTAGAACCTCAGTTAGTCTCTTAGCCAGAAAACCTATGAGGTCTCTCCCTGTAATCTCTCTGTGTGAGATGATTTGGGCTTCATCCCAACATGGTGAGTATTTTCCAAATGTGAGGGTTCTAAGAGAACAAGGAGGAAGTACATGACATTTTATGCTCCACTATTTTAAGTCACGTAGTGTCACTTCTGCCGTGCTTTTTGATTGAAACAGGCATAAAGCTCTTCGCGGGTTCAGAATGAAAGAACATAGACCCCCCACTTGATAGGAGGAGTGTCAAGGTTACACGGTAAGAGGAGTATGTTGAATAGGAGATATTGTTGCAGCCAGCGATCTTTTAGTACACATTTTATTCAAATTAGTCAATGTCTAAAACATTTACTTTTCATTTTATATCTACTTTGTTTGACTTCTTGAATGAATCTGAATATGGTTACTTACCTGTGTGCTTTACTAAAATATGCTCTTTTAAATCATTTATAGCTTTTTTTGGAGAAAAATAATATATCTAATGCCAATATTTTTTCAGATACCCCGACACAGAAGGAATCATTCACAGCATGTCTTGAAAGATGTCATTCCTCCATTGGAACAATTGGTAAGTTTATTTCCCTGCAATACCGTATTATTTATCTACTGCTACAGAACAAATTAACCCCAAACTCAATGACTTAAAACAGCACACACTGTTATCTTATGTTTTTGTGGGTCAGGAATCCAGGCATGGTTTAGCAGAGTCCTCTCATTCAGAGTCTCTCAGATTTCAATCAAACTTTAAGCCAGAATTGGGGTCACATCTGAAGGTTTGACTGGGGAAGGATCTGCTTTCCTGTTCATGCACTTGGTTGTTGGCAGGGTTCAGTTCCTCCAGGAATGTGATCCAGAGGCTGCTGTCAGTTTCCTGCCATGTAGGCTTCACCAAAATGGCAGCTTGCTTCTTCAAAGCATGCAAACTGAGAAGGCAAAGGATTCTGCTAGCAAGACAGAAGGCAAATCTTTTATAACCTAATCATGGTAGTGATATCCCATCAACTTTTCCACATTCTCATGATCAGAATCAAGTCACTAAGTCTAGTCCATACTCAAGGAGAAGGGACTACACAAGGCTGGGAATAACAAGAAGCAGAGATTATTTGGGGCCTACTGAAAATTTTGACAATTCTTTTTAAGAAAATAGTTAATCCCAGGGTGTCTGTGTGACTCAGTCAATTGAGCATCCAACTCTTGGTTTCAGCTCAGGTCATGATCTCAGGGTCATGGGATCAAGCCCTGTGTTGGGCTCTATATTCAGTATGGAATCTGCTTGAGTTTCTCTCTCCTTCTCCCTCTCCTGCTCATGCTCTTTCTCTCTCTCTCTTTCTCTCTCTCAAATAAATGAATAAATCTTAAAGAAAAAAGGAAAAAGAAAAAAATTAATCCCCTACCAGTAGATTCTAAGCCCACTAAAGCTGGGATTTTTTTGTTTCCATTGTATCCTAATGACTAGAAAGGTGCCTGAAACATTGTAAATAACATGAATGAAGTATTAGAAATATCTTAAAAACATATAAGCCCTTGGGGCCCCTGGGTGGCTCTGTCGGTTAAGTGGCTGCCTACCTACGGGTCAGGTCATGATCCCAGGACCCTGGGATCGAGCCCTGCATTGGGCTCCCTGCTCAGGGGAGAGTCTGTTTCTCCCTCTCCCCCTGCTGTGCTCCCCTTGCTGTGCTTTCTTGTGCTCTCTCTCTCTGTCAAATGAGTAAATAAATAAAATCTTTTTTAAAAAGCCAAAAATACAAAAAATATATAAGCCCAAATTTCCTGATATGTTCTGCCACTTCTTTCTATTAATGACTCCTTTTTGGTAAACATAATACCCCTTTTCTCCACGCTTATCCTTCTTGTTGGATTTCACATTGGCCAACATGCTTCCAGTTCCATTGGCTTATAGGATACAGCACCTAGATGACCTTATTCCTATCTTTTCCCTGCTATTCCATCCCCATTATCTTTCTTTAAAATTTTTCTTTTGTTGTTATATTAATCACCATACATTACATCATGAGTTTTTGATGTAGTGTTTCATGATTCATTGTTTGCGTATAACACCCAGTGCTCCGTTCAGTACGTGCCCTCTTTAATACCCATCACCAGGCTAACCCATCCCCCCACCCCCTCCCCTCTAGAACCCTCAGTGTGTTTCGCAGAGTCCATCGTCTCTCATGGTTCTTCTCCCCCTCCGGTTTCCTTCCCTTCAGTTTTCTCTTCCTACTATCTTCTTTTTTTTTTTTTTAACATATAATGTATTATTTGTTTCAGAGGTACAGATCTGTGATTCATCAGTCTTACACAATTCACAGCGCTCACCATAGCACATACCCTCCCCAGTGTCTATCACCCAGCCACCCCATCCCTCCCACCCCCCACCACTCCAGCAACCCTCAGTTTGTTTCCTGAGATTGAGAATTCCCCCATTATCTTTGGGCTTTCTCATCCTCAACACCAAATATATTTATTTTTCTAGTTCAGTTCTTTTATTTTCATTCATTTTGCATGTTCTAGATCTCCCATCTCCATTCTGGCCATTGTTCCATTACTTTCTTTGTTTTAGACTAAAAATTCCTTATAAGGATTGTCTACTTTTATTGTGGTCAGTTTCTCCCCTCCTTTATCTCTTGAACCAACTCCATTTAGACTTTTATCTCAACCACTTATCGCCTATCGAGGTCATCAATTGCTTCTATATTGCTAAATCTATTGGTAGTCTCAGTTTTCTCATTAGACCTTGTAATTTAACCCAATTGATAACTCTCTTTGGAACACTTTCCTCATGTGACTATCATGACTAAACCACTTTCTTATGGATCTCCAATGAATTAAATAACCACCCATTTTCCATTACCTTTACTGGTTCATCTTCATCTTGTAGCTCAACTTAACTTTTCTTCTTTCTCTTTATATTTATTCCCTACAGTGTATCATTCAGTGCTCAGGTTTTAGGTATTATGTTACACTAACCACTTCTCCAGCATGGCCCACTGCTCTAAACTCCAGTACTGTTTGTTGTGGCATATTCACTTATATGTCTAACATACATCTCAAACTTAACATATCCCAAGCTGATTCTGATTTTCTCCCAAACTCGCTTCTTTCAACCTTCTCCATTTCACTAGATGCTAACTCCATTCTTCAGGGTTCTTCAGTCAAAACTCTTAAGGTCATCTTTTCTCATAACATAAACTTAAACATGTGTTAAGCTGTTTGCTCCATCTTCAGAATACACCAGAATCAGTTCTCTTCTCACTACCTTTATGCCATGTCATCTCTCACCTGATTTACTGCAATAGCCTTCAACTGATGTGCTGCTTTCACCCTCTCTTTCTGCTTTTTATTTTCAAAACAAGGGCCAGAGTGACCTTGTTAAAATGTAAGCTAGGTCATGTCACTCCTTGATTCAAATTCTTCTCTGGCCTCCGGGATCTCCCAGGGTAAAGGCTGACAGACATGCAGGGTTCATCTTATCAGACCCTGCCGGTATCAGCTCTCTCTCTGGCCTCACCTTTTCCCTTCTTCTCCTGGCTCATTCTGCTCCAGCCAAGCTGACCTCCTTCCTTCTCTCACAGGGCCATTATACCTGCTCTTTCCTATGCCAAAATGATTCATTTTGTGCCCAGAAAATTGTAAGGCTCATTCATTCATTTGTTTTGAACCTCTGTTCAAATACCACCTTTTAAGATAGGTCTTTCCTAACCTCCCTAAAAACAAATAAACAAATACGAAAACACACCATTGCCATTCACGCTCCTTTTCTCTTATCCTAATTTAACTTTCCCCGTGGAATTTACCACCATGTGGCATGCTATACAATTTCTTTTTATTTGTTTTTTTGTTAGAATGTTCTGTAAGATCAGGGGTACTGTCTCCTATATTCATAACTCCATTCCCATGATTATAACACTTGCTAGAACATGGTAAGAACTCAGTAAATGTGTGTTAAATTAATGTACAAATGGAATAGTTAATGGTTTTTATTTTTACTTGCAAGTTTGTAATACACAGATCTATACTTGTGTACTTTCTCTTCATTATCTCATCCTATATCTTGAAGTGCTAGCCAGTCATTTGTTCTACTGTGTCTCCTTATCATCTTAGAAATGAATTTTCCCAGACTGAAGCCATCATCACTTTGTTCCCAAACTGGTTTCCTTTTCCATCAAGCCTCTCTTTACAAGTAGCAACCATGCCTCCAGGCTTAGAATGCATTTTCTTGGATCCTCTATTTTATCCATAGCCCATTAAGCAAGTCATTATTTTCCAAAGCAGTTTCTCTGCAATGGGTGTGGTGCCCACATTTTTCTTTATGGTTATACACACATCCTTGCCCCGGCCTTCAGATGCTTCTGATGGCAGCCCTCACCTCTCCCCTGGACTCCACTGTGCTCCTCCCACTGATCCTATGTAGCAATTCCATACCAGTCTTCTGGAAACGGTACCTTCATTACTTCATTTTCCTTGTCAAAGCACTCAATAGCTTCTTATTCTCTATGACATCAAGTCTATAGACTTCTCTCATGGTTCCTGATTTACCTATTTATTGTCTACTCCCAAATACACACCCTCAAGCTAGGGATGGTAACAGGATTAAGCCATGGCTCTTACCCTAAGAGTGCTTGGATTTTCTGTGACAATTAGTTTCTTCATCTTGGCACTCTTTTGTATTGTTCACCCTCAGTTCATGGGTAATATACTTGTTGCATGGTTACACTGTAAATACTTTGAAGTTAGAGGGTCATGACTTGCATTTTCTTTATTATACCATACTTCCCCTTACACTGCTTTTGATACTAGGGCTTGCTCAGAAAGGACATGTGTGTCAACTGATTTAATAATAAGATATGAAAGGTGTATTAAAATTATATTGTTGATTCAGATGTCAACAGATATATGCCTGCTATTTGTAGAGGTTCTTTACGAGAAAGATGCTCTAAAACCTGCTGGGGGGAGAAGAGGGAAGGGCAGGGGGAGAGAGAGAATTCCAAGCACGTTCCACGCCCGGCTCAGAGCCCAACTTGGGGCTTGATCTCACGACCCTGAGATCATGACTTGAGCCGAAATGGAGAGTCGGTTGCTTAACCAACTGAGCCACCTAGGCACCCCCCTAATTAAATTTTCATTATCCATTACCATTCACACTAAGGCTTGAATTATTTTCTAAAACCTTTAAAGTTTTCTTTGTGTCTGACTAATCTAACCTCATATTATTTTTTACCTAGATACACATATTTTTTTCCCACAAATCTGGTATGTTCCTTACTTTCATCTCTACTACTCCCTTCCTTCACGCTATTGCTTCTGGAGTCAGCCAGAGGTTCTCACAATAGTTTCCCTTAGCAGTACCAGTCAGGATGAACTATTATAGATACAATAGTATACATTAAAACATTTTAGAAAATAATAAAATTCCTTAAGTTGGTGTTATTACTCATTATTTTTACCATATGGATTTTTGAGCTTATTTATGTCCAACACTTTTTGCTATATAAATCCCATTTCCTTTATTTCAGAACTCCCCTGAACATTTTCTAGAAATCATGAGAAGCCTTGGCTTTAAGCATAACT